CTGGAGCCCATTAAATTAGCTAGGCGGAACTGTTTAGCTTTGAAATGGAATAAGTTTGTTTTTTTTAAGGTCTAGGAAATTTCTGTTTGTTCTTTTATCAAACAAATCAAAATCCAGAGCATTCTGCCCTTGCACCAATTTGTTTCCCATCTAGCCAAAATTCTTTGGTCTCTCCGACTCATTCCATACAAATTCTTGTACTATGCAGTTGCTACTTCGGACACACTTTACGGAAAATTTTTTAGCAAATTAAAAAGTTTTCTCTTATTTCGTAACTCATTTAAAATTCAGATACGAATATTACGAAAAACGCTACCAAGAATACGTTCAGATGGTTTGATTGAGTACGCTATTCCGCTTGGCTTAGACGTTTCACTGAACAGAGGATGGACATCACTGAAAACTGATAATTTAGATTATGACTGGATTATGTCTGGTAGCTGTGGATCCAGCAGTGCGCTTTCCAGGCAACCATCTTTACTTTTTATGCATTTTTGCTGCGCAGCGCTATGGCAGCGCTATAGCGCTGCTACAGCCAGCAAAAACGTTTACTGTCGAGAGGCTGTCTGTGTGTGTGTGTCTGTGTATTCGGAAGCGACTTTTATCTCAGCAAGCAGGAAAGCTGGAAGGCTGAATCTTTGGGTATATGTTCCTACTCCATGTGCTATCCTCTCGTTTGAAGAACTTTCCCTGGCGCCGCCTGGCTCTGTAGGGGTAATTTGGGTATTGGTCGTAGCACGATAGGCAGCAGTCGTGCCCAGATGCACGGTTCCTAAAAGGGTTTGTGCCTTTGGCCGGGCGCATTCCTTCCTTCTACGGTCAGCGAACTGCAGTAACAGTTTTAACCAAGCTATTTCTTCCGGCAGACCGCCCACGGGTGATTTAGCTGAACAACCGGGTGGTCACAACTTAAAACGGCTATTTCGTATTGATGTACATGGACGGATATGCAGAATTACTGAAGCTAATGATAATAGTCTCTATTGCACACATGCCTGTGGTGGCAATTGTATATGCTGTCGCATGATTCTTTCAGATGGGTTGGTAAAATCCTCCGTCACCGGTTCCCGTTTTGTCCCCATGTAACCCCAGTGATTTGCTCAATTGCAAAAAGACTGATATAATTTATGTAATTACCTGTAGGGTCTGTGGCATGCAGTACGTAGGCCAAACTAAACGAACTCTAAAAACGCGAGCAAGGGAGCACAGATATAATGTTGTTCGCAAAACAAATGCTATCCTTTACAACCACTACCAATTACCTGGGCACGGACTAGATTCCATGGGCATTGAAATTATCGAATGTGTTTGACAGAACTATCACTACCTTATTTCAACGAGAGCACTTCTGGATGCAGGCCCATAACACGGTTTATTCTTTTGGACTTAACGATGGTATCATGGCTTACGGGAACGTTTCAGATGGACTGCTTCCATTCACTATGGGTAAAAACCCTTACTTCCAAGTACTGCTACTTCGGAAGCGCAGAAGGCACGGTAGACGTACTCGTAGAAATAAAATAGCTGACCAGGAAGCTATCGACCTCGCGCTTACTTGTGACGTTGATACCCCTCAAGCAATTCGACAATTGCTTAATAGACTTTACAAATCCAACAACAGAACTATTAGGATGCTTCGGCAACGTGTTTCCACTGAGTACTGCCATTTGCAAAAGCCTGTATTCTGCAAGGATTCTTGCTTTTCCGCCTTGAAACTTCTGCACCTCCTAGTCGTGATAACATTTCCTACTTCACGCTTCCTTATCCGGGTAACTTATTCATCAATCTCACCATCTTTCATGACACTTTGGCAAAACGTCTATTTCCAATACATCCTTTCCCTCGCACTATTGTCAGTTTTACGTACCCAAATCCTATAAGCTGTCGCATTATGAACTATACCAACTTTCTCAGACACCTTAGTGATAGACCTGTTGCGCTAGCTAACCTATTATCTTCACCCTGTCATTGCGCACATTCAAATTACCTATATGAACCTGCCTGTCACGTTGTAACGGGTAACTTAGGCATAATCCGTAACCGGCAACTAAGAGACGTCATGAAGAAGGGCACTAAATTTAGATTACCTATTATTAAAACCGCAGACGAAATTATAACAGACATTTCCAGTGCTTTGGACGCCTTCATCTCCGGTATGACAAATTGCACTGGTACTACTGTTGCTCAATATGACAGTTTCAAACACAGGATATTAGCTGTAGCACGTTGTAGAACAGCTAATCGTTGTTATCCTTCTAATTTAGTCAATATTGGTTTTGACAGAGCTTTGCGTGAGGCACACAGACAATTTGTCATAACTGCCGTTGACAAGGTGCCAAGCAACTACGTAATTATATGCAAAAAGTTCTATGCTTTGCTGCACTGCAATGAGCTCGGTACCACACCTAATTGCATCCAAGGTAATATTATGTACAGGCCAGTACCGTTTTCCGTTCAACAACTGGTCACCGACCACCACAGAATTCTAAGTTAATTTCAGCTTCACACCACCAATGATAATGCATCCATTCCCTTCATTTACGCTTTTCCGAAGCTTCATAAGAACCCCTACGGATATAGATTCATAGCGGCAGCAAACAAATCATCCCTACGAAGCCTCTCTATTACTATGCACCGCCTTTTAGTTCAGTTTAGGACTCATTTCCACAATTACTGTATTCAAACAACTACACAAACAGACGGCCTGTTTACTTTAGCATCACCAATTCACTAACAGTGGTGCAAAAGCTCATTACACCGCACACTTTAGCAACCCTTTCACCAGTCTACCACATTCTCAAATATTGACAACCTGTTCTATCTTATTGACCTTTGCTTTAATAATTCGGGTAAAGAATATGTTA